TGTGTTCCTGCAGGCCATGTGGGTGGCGCAGCCTTGTGTTCCTGCACAGCCTGGATTAATTGCTTTGGGAGGTGCTTTGGATGTGACATTTCTTTGCGGACCATCAAAATTTTCTCGTAGACCACTAGTGGTTCCCGGCCCACTGGTTGGCGACCACTGGTTTAAGTTATACCAGGGCAGGGATGTTCAACAATCACAAATTATCCCTTTCCTATCGTGTTGCAAGCCATTGGACCAGGAAACAGGGGGCAGTCTAGAGGGCATGGAAGTTGTTTGAGATTAAAAGTATCACCTTTGGATATTAGAGCAATAAACAGTAAGAGTATTTCCACCTAGGATTTTAACATGGATTAGTCATTTTGAAATAGATGGCTTGATCAGATAAAGTGAGACGAACTTTTAAAAGTGGGATCAAACTATTAAAAATTTCAGAGCTTGCTTTCAGGTATCTCCACTGTGCAAGGAAGTGAGCTGCAATGATTCATTGATGTTTTACAGTGCATGTCAAATACATAATCTGAAGTGTTTGAAGTAGATGCATAAGACAATTTTTTTGAGGTCCGACTACCAAAATTCTTCTTTCCTTAAATGACAGTAAAGGTCTTGACTTAATTTTTAGAACCTCCTTCTCCTGATTCACCTTGGAAGATACCAACTTTTAGGCTAAAATGTTTCTTAAGTATGGTTCAAATTATTCATTGAGCCAAGTATCTGTTTCATTTAATATCTGACCCTATTCCTTTAGCAGAATTACATTTGAGGTATTGTATTGGATATGATGGTGATCAAAGCTTCTATTTATGGAATCTTTCCATAAATAGGAAAAAGGACACTTGATTAAGAGTTGGCACTCCTAAATCCCTCATCTTGTGATTGTTCCCTGCCAAATGAAGAATTGTATGCAGTTTGTTTAAAGGGTTCATAGTGTATGCCAATTGTGATGCAAATCTAACACTGCAACATACCCCAAATCATTTTACATTTACAGATTCTAGGGAATTATTTATTTTATATTATTTATTTATTTATTTTATGTATTACTTTGTTTATTAAATTTTTATGCTGCCCACCTTCCATATAAAATGATTCTGGGCAGTCAATTTAAGGAATTAATTTCTCATATTCTTTCTTTGAATCTTGACTTACTCCATATTCACTGACATGATGTCCCAGATATTGTATAAATCATTGCTTTTGTCCAGCTTGAGCCCTTTATCTGAATGATTGCTAAAACTTTAAAAAGTCTCTCGTTAAAATGTTGTCCATAAATAATGAAACACCTTCAGATTGGAATGGACAACTCACCATAGCCAATTTGCTGTGGCCACCTTACCACGGCCAGCTCAACGCAGCCAACTTACCACAGGACAATTTAACAGTATTTAAAATATATTTTTTAAATTTTTGTCATTCACATATCATTCTGTCCAGAGGTGGCATTCAGCAGGTTCTGACCAATTCTGGAGAACCTGTAGCGGAAATTTTGATTAGTTCGGAGAACCAACAAATGCCACCTGTGACTGGCCTCACCCCATCTATTCTCTGCCTCTCGAGCTGGGTCTTCTTTTGTTGCCCTGCACAGGAGAACGAAGCTGGAAAGCAGGTTATGGGGTGGGGAGGGAATATGATTTTGCAGTATCCTTCCCCTGCCACGCCACCAAGCCATGCCATGCCCACCAAGCCACACCCACAGAACCGGTAGTAAAAAATGTTTGAATCCCACCACTGATTCTGTCCCTCCCTTTGCATCCTTTTTTAATGATTCTATTCTCCCAGTTCTTTGATATTGGTGTAACTCTTGTCCCCCAGAGAGTTGATCCTCAGAGAGTTGGCCCTGGCAAATTGGCCATGGCATGTTGGCCACGGTGAATTGGCCATGGTGCATTGGTATGAGCCAGCATTTAATACCAGTTGTCATTGCATGGCCTCGATATAAACATACTTTTCCTGTACATAGGCATATGCTTTCTGCAGCACAATAGTCTCGCCCATACAGAAATTACATACATTAAATTATTATTAGAACTAGAAGCAAACTCTACCAACTTCAGAGGTTGTGTGCCACAATAGACTGTGGTTGCCATGTAAAAGAATGCAACGCCCTCTTTTTAACACTCTGTTGGTGACAATTTGTGTTTATTTTTTAAGGAGCATGTTAATTGCTTCCATGCTTTTAATATTTAATTACTTTACTAGTTCTTTGTAATGCTGAACCTGCGCACCTCCCGCATTTATCAGATTTTAATCTATTTTGCCAGATTGTTCTAATTTCTTACTTTAGCTGAATTGTATTCTTAATCCTGTTTACGGATATTGAATACAAATTGCTTGCAAATGGAAGGTTGGGTGTGGCTGTAAAGACTAAAGGTATCATTTTATAAAACAGGCCTTTGTACTATGAAAGGAGCAGAATGGCAAGAAGGACTCTATTGGGGTCTAGTTGCTATGGTTATATAATGGCTTCTATTTTGTTCAATCCAAGGCTCTCCATGCTTTAGTAACAATGCTGGATGCATTTTTTTATTTGTTGAAACTCTCACAACTTCAGCAATGGAAGAAAAAATGCAGATGAAAATTGTAACATTTCCTCCCTTTTCTGCAAATCAATAATACTGCCCTTCTTATTTGTTCAAATCTCAGATATTTCCCCATTTGGAAATGCAAAAGGTAACAAGAGAAACTAAAACTGCTTATGGAAAGCTGACAGCTGGTAGAAGAAGATAATGATGATGATTAGAAAGGCTACGGTAAAAGCTACAGGAGGAGAGCAGCCTTACTGGTTCCTTTGTAAATGGAGTCAGAGTCTTCCTGGTTAACAGTTCAAAATTCTTAAGCTATTATTCAATTAAATTTCAACACACACACACACACACACACACACACACACACACACATTTTTTAAAAAAGTTGAATCAGACTATTAAACCCACCAGAACTAAATGAGCAGCAAGGTTGGAGCCTAGGGTCAGTAGAGTTGAATAGGTTGAATACCACTTTATAATGCCTTGGTAAGGCCACACTTGGAATACTGCATTCCAGTGGTGGGATTCAATTTTTTTTTACTACCGGTTCTGTGGGCGTGGTGTGGTGGGCCTGGCAGGGGAAGGATACTGCAAAATCTCCAGTCAGAGGTGGTATTTGCCAGTTCTCCGAACTATTCAAAATTTTCGCTACCAATTCTCCAGAACTGGTCAGAACCTGCTGAATACCACCTCTGTTGCATTCAGTTTTGGTTGCCATAATGTAAAAAAAATGTTGAGATTCTAGAAAGAGTGCAGAGAAGTGCAACAAAGATGATTAGGGGACTGGAAGCTAAAAGATATGAAGAACGGTTGCAGGAACTGAGTATGTCTAGTCTAATGAAAAGAAGGACTAGGAGAGACATGATAGCAGTGTTCCAATATCTCAGGGGCTGCCACAAAGAAGAGGGAGTCAAGCTATTCTTCAAAGCACCTGAGGGCAGGACAAGAAGCAAGTGGAAACTAATTAAGGAGAGAAGCAACTTAGAACTAAGGAGACATTGCCTGACAGAACAATTAATCAGTGGAACAACTTGCCTCTAGAAGTTGTGAATGCTCCAATACTGGAAGTTTTTAAAAAGATGCTCGATAAACATTTGTCTAAAGTGGTGTAGGGTTTCCTCCTAAGCAGGGGTTTGGACTAGAAGACCTCCAAGGTCCCTTCCAACTCTGTTATTCTATTCTAGAATAGCAAGTTTGATGGCTTGATGGATATTAGATTGGGTTCCTGGCATTTCTTCATTTTTTATAATTGTTTTTAAATCTCGCATTTTTATCATTATGGTTATATGCCACAAGATGGGTGGCCATATAAATCTTTTATATAAATAAACAATGATAGTATGCCTCCTTTCATCACTTTATAATAGTTGAAAATCAGTTGTATTGTCTGCCTTTGAGCTAGAGTCTCCATGAAGCCATGATTAGACATCATTGACAGCAAACTATCTTCAATCACTCTTTCACAATATTGTTACTTTTTAATTATACTTTGAGTTGCATAAATTTAATTGCTCACTATGCAAAGCTTGTCTACACTAAGACATTTGTCATTCAACTGACTGGGGCTTTAGGCAGAGGGAAACTGTCCCAGTTCTGAGTGGGAAAACTGCTTTGAATTAAATAAAATTTTGGATATGTTAAATTTTTGCCCTAACATTAGCACAATATACTATGGCATCCAAACTAAAACTAAGGCAATACATGAATCATGCTTTTTTTTAAAAATGTACATAGAAAATCTAGGTGAATATAAGATTTCTAAATAGATACTTCTACATCTGGGAGTAAGTAGTATTTTGCAAATTCATTACAATTTCAGTATTATTAGTTGTGTTACAAAAATGTGTCCCTAACATCATTTGTGCCCAACATGTGTTTTAAGAACACAATACTGTCTGTAAAACGGAATATTATAATATTATAACAACAGCTGTAGCTTAAAAAACAATTCCATTTTGAGAAATTGTTAAATAATAAAGAAGTATAATTGTCAGCTTTGGAAGCCATATTGAGACAGATGCTCCCATGCTGCCACATTTTGAGCCTGTGAAAATGGGAGAGGGGAATATCTCGGAGTGTATGTAGTTAGACATAATAACGTTCTTTTTCTAATTCAAGGTCATGTTATTTTGTGCATAAGTGAGGGGAAGTCTCAAGTTGGGATGGATGGTGATTGAGGCATGTGATGTGATGATGGGTGCAGGGGATGGATTTGTAGTTTTGACTTATTGCAAGGAAACCTGGAACTTTAGGATTTGGGATTCCCCAGTTTGTGCCAGTTTACTATCCAAATAAAAAGAACTTTTGAGAAGATGTCTGTCTCGGAGTTATTGGATGGAGTGAAGGTTTTCTGCAATGCTGACAATAATATTACTAAATGCTTGAAATAACAATTCTGGGATAATGTGAATGATAAATGAGTAATCAGACAATGTAGGGAAACATGACAACTCTGTATCTACCAAAATATAGAAGCTGAAAATATTAGAATGCACCAAAATGGACAGGTTAACAATGGAAATAAAAGACAAGGGAGAAACAGAGTATTACCTAATATAGGACCTATGGTACAATTGGCTAGACAATAGATGCAGAGGTTAGAAAATGGATTACGGAAGAGGATCAACAAGTTAGAAACAAATACAGGTATAAAGCTAAATAGAAGGATACGTATTGTAAGCAATATTGGTATTAGATTGTGCATAATTGCAAATCAAAATATATAGAGTGATAAATGAATGGAAAACTACGTTATAACCATGGATACAATAGATATAAGTATGTTATATAGCATCAAGTTTTTATTCCTTTTTCTATGGACTATACTGTATGAAAAAGAGAAAAATGGTCGTAACTAGGATGTATAACATCACATATATTTTTAAAAGGTGTTGATACAACCAGCATATTGTTATTGCAAAATTGAAATTGCGATGTAAAGTGAAGGAAAATGCACTATAAAACTATTTTTAAAAACGATAACAAAATATAGAAGCTGAAGAAGCAATTACACTAAGTTCTGTTTGGGAAATTTAAGAAATTCCAACCTTTGTTTCTGTTTATCCTGAAATATACATAACTTTGAAATATGCACTTAGGCAAAAAAAATATTAAAAGAAAGTGAAGAGTTAACAAGTCATGTATCCCTAATCTTTAAATATATTTTTTCATATAAAATATTATAAATAAATATTTAGTGGTGTTAATAATTTCAACCTACTAAATTTCAGCTATAGATGCAACAGTAAAATGAAGGAAGAATAAATCCTCTTATTGGATTGGATCCATATTAGTTAGTCATATGCAAGAAGGGCTTGCTTTCATTTCTGCAAGCAGAAACCTGAACAGGTATGCAGTCAAAAGTATGCACAGTTTTTTTTATTCTGTTCCTGATATTAAACCCATAGGGAAATAAAAGAAGATAATGTATAAGGATAATTAATGGGATCAAAAAATTACCCAGTCACATGATGATTCAAGTTACCACCACAATGAGGGTGGAAATTCTGGTCCCAATTGTGACTGTAAATTGAGGATTAACTCTAGTTCATCATACTAGAATAGTCTCTACTATGATAGATTCAGATTGCCATATACTAATTTTTACAGTCTCCTAAAGCCATCTAATTATCCTACCTTTTAGATTTTTTTTAGACCAGGTGTGTCAAACGTCATGGCAGTGTCATGTGACATATTGCGACTTTTTTCCCCTTCACTAAACCAGGCGTGGGTGTGGCCAGTGTGTGACGCATCCAGCCTGCAGGCTGTGAGTTGGACAGTCCTGTTTTAGACTTTAACTTTCTGTTTTGTATCCTTTAGTTTTTTATAATTATGATTATTTTTTAAATTCCAATGTAATTATAATTGATTGTATGCCACCTGATGATCTTTGACCATAATAAAGATTTGATTTATATCTATCTATCTATCTATCTATCTATCTATCTATCTATCTATCTATCCTGTTTCTCCAACAATATGGCCTCCCCCAATAGGAAGTCCCAGCATGTTTTATAGGCATGAAATGAAATTAAACCCCTCCCCGCAAATTAAGGTCTATATTAAAACATGCAAAATGGTGGGGAATGGTGGGGGGGTCTTGCTGTTAGGAAGTACTTTTGTTGCACACCTGGATATGGTGCTGCCTGCGTTGACCCCGATAAGAAGTGTCCCACCAACACCGAGGTCAACATCCAAGCCATCGCCACCCGCCTGCCCGAAGATGCAAGGGGGGGGAATTAAGTCACCCCCTGAAAAGACAGCCTAGCCATTTTTTCGGGGCTCAAAAAAAAAAAAAAAAAAGACCCAGCCTTATTATATGAGAAACACGGTATCTATCTATCTATCTATATCTATCTATCTATCTATCTATCTATCTATCTATCTATCTATCTATCTATCTATCTATCTATCTATCTATCAATCTATCTATCTATCTATCTATCTATCTATCTATCATCTATCTCTATCTATCTATCTATCTATCTATCTATCTATCTATCTATCTATCT